TGAATGACATCTTCGATGACATGATTAATGGAAAGCGTTTGCGAATTACTGATCACTTCTTCAATAGTGTCTTTGATTTGGTTTGCAATCATCGAGTGATTGGATCCGTCCATACACTTGACGACCAGATCTGCGAACTCTCTGTCATTGAGTTCATCACCGAATGATGTCTGTGTGGAGTCGGCTTTGAGGTCGAGTTTATCCAAACCTTCGTAGAGTTTCTGCAAAAGCGATGCCTCTCTGTCGGTGACTGTGACTCCCGACCTCTCTTGAGAGGCAACTCCTTTCAGATTCAGCACCTCTTGAGAGTCTTTGCAGTGGTTCAACGCCTCCCTCCAGATTGTCTCCAAACCGGGAATCTTCTGGTTGTCTAACACGACAGCTCTGTTCATAATATCACTGAAATCCATATCACATTCAATTTGACACGAAGTCATGGCGTCAATGTCTGAATAGTCGACACAATCGGGCATTGAATCCGTGCGCCGATAGACCACACGTTTTGCGTCCAAGAAGTCCATTCCATACAAGTTGTTGTCAATGAAGAACTTGAGACACAAAACAATTAATACATAAAACAGTGCTATAATTAAAAACTTATAATACCTGAAGATTGTAAGGAATGTGTGCTTCAAATGGTTGGATCTGTCGGTCCATTACTTCTCCGGACAGAAGTTGTTCACACGCTCTGAATGCAGACAATTAATGGTAAATACAAATAAAACACTAAAACAATGGGTAAATACTTTTGAATAGTGAACGGACTGTAGAAATAGATTCGCAGAAACTTGTGATAACTTTCATGAAAGCCATAAAATGGACTAAAAATACAATTTATAGTTTAGTGATATTTGGCGGCAAAAGTGGTAAAGGCTTACATGGCGTCCACTTCTTCTATATCATAGATCAGCTGATCATTGGGCGAGAGAAACCAGTGTAAAGACCACGCTTGAGACCGGCCGTAATCTGCGCTGAGGTTCAGCCTGTGGTTAACAGAGTATTTGACAACAAATAACATAAGTATCAACAGTAGCTGACACCGTAGTTTAAACTCACTCAAATAGGGATACACGCGATGCACGTGAAGACATGCCTTTCGACCATTTGTCACCACGTCTATTACCACAGTTACTTGTGTTCACCGTTTTCGTTACCGACAGTTATGGCAGTAGTCACCACGGCTTCTGAGCATTCTGTCCCTGAGCAAACCATAGCCAAACAGACTTGACCGAGTACAGGTCATCGAAGCGGACATTAGGTTCGGCCATATAGTAGTCGACTGTCACTATCCGCAGGCGTAGGGCCGGTATGTCCGCCACGACAGAGCCATTGGCATCGCCAGCACTGGTGGCCATCGATGTGATCGTCACCTAAACACACATTGCATCACAATAAATGATTGTCACCACAAAGACATGTCATGACTTACCGCCGATGAGTGCGACAGCGAGTGATTGCTTTGCAAATGAGTGGTTGGATGTGATGGTCACTCAAACCAATGGTTTGACTGCTTTTAAGCCGTGTTTTCAATGTTTAATAACAAAGAGTGACTGACTTGACGAAAATACCGCACATTTTGTACACTAAACACAACATACACTCAACGCATACACTCTGAGCACTGCATACACTGAGCACTGCATACACCTATTGGTCAACACTTACGCGCTTTCAATGCAATCAATGGATTATCACTTCAATTGGGATTCGCTTTTCATTCAATGGATTCCCGAATCGATTTACACGCAAATGTGGTTTTGTTAACAGGATTTACTATAACTCATTCACAGGTATAAAGGCGTATCAGGCAAATGCCATTTCAACCCATTTTATAACTACAAAAACGTTTGGTGCGCGTGTATAAAAGGCCCTGAATTACGACCTGCAGTTAACATACTTAGCACACTTTTCAGAGTTCAAAATTTAATTTGCAATTAAACATTTGAATTAAAACCGCATTTATAAGCAATAAAAAGATTTTTTTTGTCTATTTCTTAATGGACTGAATGAAGGAGAAGATGGCAATCACCAGAACTCCAGTTCCTATAAGACTCAAACTTTTCCACACGTATTGCATTGCATCACAATCTAATCAGGGTAGAAATGAGTTATTGATTAAGTTGTATCCTGGATACAGTATCCATGAAACAAGTGGTCATTTGTTACGGGTATTGCCAAAGACACAAATCAGATCTAATCTCCGTCACTACTCCTTCTCATACTATCGTCACTTGTCTCTATATATCGTTTCTCACCTTCGCTAGCGTGGCGTCTTCCGCTCTGTGCTCTCCGAGTCGCGGTTGTGATACCGGTGCTTCACCACGATTTGGGACCCGCCGGCCAAGGGCTGAGGGCTGTCCGCCACGAAGTACTCGATCAGTCGGATGAGGAATATGAGCGCCAGTATGGATGTGACCACAACCAGACATATGTTCACTATTTGCTTCCCATTCCCCGATGCCATCAATTGTTGAATAAGTTTTATTCCGATACAACTGTTGCTGTCGTTCACACAATCAGATTATAATTGATGGCAATTATGACATAATAAAAGTGATTCAATAAATGTCACAAAATGTGTCCAAAAAACAAATCTAAAAATTTAGCATTAGTTTTGGCATTACAAAAAGTGTCAAGGTAACACTTACGGTATTTGTCACTTGTAATCAAAATAAACTAATTGTAAAAAGTTTTGTACAAAACTTGATTACAAATCCAAACCTGCAAGCAGTGACTGATTGGTGTCTCACGTGAATACCCCTAATGTGTGAACGCCTACACCACTGACCACTGGATCGGCGCCCAAACACTGCTATTGACCGCTGAGTCACTGATTGGCAGCGGAGGGAGTGTTGAGTGCATTGACTCACAGACTGCGAGTCCGTTCACAACGCACTCATCGCTCACACCATTGTCTGCATTGTCTGTGTGACCATCACCTGAACGGATCCGATGGCAGACTTTCTGCACTGCAATGCGTGTCTCCGGATGCCATCGCGAGACACAACTGTCATCCAGTTCTATGTGACCGGTTGTCATAATGTGTTTTGTATGGACTGTTAGTATTGATGATCACATTGATTGTCACCTCAACTAACCATTGATTGTCACCTCAACTTACCATTGATTGTCACCTCAATTAACCATTTGTTGTGTCCGTCTGCAGGTGTGTCCAAATGCACGCAAAACTGTGCCAAATGTGCACCAAATGGGTGTCAAGTGATTCCACTGAACAACGACGCCCACGAAGACATCAAGATGTGCTTCAAAGACGTGACCAAAACAAGCAAAGTGTTGGACAGAGTGAAGGACTTCCAGAAGAGACAGTGGATCCGATTGAACGCCGCGTTGACCGCTGAGAACAACCGCCTCCGCAGTGAATGCATTGATCACAAGAATACGATCGAAAGGCTTAACCAAAAGGTGATGTCTTTGGAGACCCAGTTGGCCACCCGTTCACCCCTTCCCAAGAGTGGCTTCAACTGCCATCCATTCCTCAATACCTCTCCGGCCAACGAAAGCTTATTTAAACACGTCTTTGAATCGATGCCGAAGAACGAGACCATGAGTTTAGAGCAAAAGGAGACCAATTTGGGGCTCAATTTGGGGATAATGGCGGCCAACAGATCCCAAGCCACTCACCACCAGTCACAGCAACCGGTGCTTAACAGCGGATCCAATGCCTTATTTGCTGAACCCATGAGTCCCACGCAGTCCTCGCAGTCCTCGCAGTCCTCGACGAAGGCTTCGCGAAGTCATCACAAGAACAGGAAGTCCCACATGGGATCCAATAGGGAGTCGACGGCCACACCGGTGATGGCGCCGCCGAATGCAATGCCACCGCCTTCTCGGGTGCCTAAGAGGACGCCCACCCGATCAGCAGCTGACCCGGCATTTCGGGCACAACTCAATGATATGATAGGAGCGACCGCTAAGGATAAGCACCAAAAGCCCTCCCATTCCCGGCGCCAAAACCCCACTCGAAGTCAGCCACAGATTGCCAGTTATGCAGGCTTTCGGCGCTATCAGTGATTGTATTTTGTATTCAATTTAATTTGTAATTCTTGTGTTCAAACAAAATATGCCAATATTTATACTGTATTACAATTATGTGCAATGAATTTAAACCAATTTAATTACTTATTATTAATATTAGATTATAATTTATTTAAATGCAAATTTTAAACAAATTAACTTTTCGATACATTTTCACAACTTATCCTATCATTCCTTATACCATACGATAACTATTTTTATAAATCAATAAATGTTTATAATTTGTATTTTATGTAAAATGCTATAACTTGTAATGAATACATTAATCACAAATATAATCAGCAAATGCTTAAAATACGAATAAAAATTACAAAAACAAATTGGGTTTCAATTAAATTAATATAAAAGTTAAAAAAGACTTGAATTGAAAGGGATGTCGACTATTACTTAATGCCTAATGGATTGAATGAACGTAAAGATAGCGCCCATCAGTACACCAACGATAAGGACAGTTAGTATCCGCACCGCATAGTCATAAGCTTCGCAATGGTCTGAATATGGATATGAATCACACAATTAGTTCATTGATTGACAATAAATACAGAAAGTAATTGTTATAATGAGTGATGTATTACCGGTGTCTTTGAGGAAGCATCGGATGAGGTAAAAGATGGACCAAATGAAGACAATGAGTGCAGTGCCCAGAGATATGTAGCAAAGAGTAGCGTTTTCGACGAACGCCCCCCAGAAGGCCAGAGCCGACAGTATGAGTGCCACCAAAATGACCACAAATTGGATGATCTGTTCGCTGTTCGCGAAAGGCTTGGGACTGTCTCTCGTGAAGTATGTGATGAGAGTTATACCATATATGACAACCAAGATTGCGGTCACTATACATAGGAATAGTTTCGTGCATACATTCCCTCCCTCTGCCATCGCTGATCATTTATCAGGTGTCGGCTATTATGGCAATCAAATGACAAACAAATAGATTAATCAAAATTCAAGAAAATAAGAATTGCTGTCAATTTGAAGGCAATCATAAGAATTGTGTTTATTATTACAGTCGGACTCGCGAGATATCCACTCATCAAATGTTTTTTGTTTTACAGGATTTTTGACAAAATATATTTAACTTATCGTTTAAATTAATAAATACTGATTTATTAAAAAAAACATATTTAAAATGTACTAGCTAATATTCTAAACTGTATTAGGTTTATATCAAATCCATTTTAATTCAACATTTCTTAAATAGTAAGTAAGATTTCGAAAACTAATTTACTTTTAAATTATATTTTCTTTATTTCAAATAACCATAAAATCTTAATTGAATTACTTTCGTTCAAAATGCATATCAAATTCACAAATATTAGTTAACAGTGTTCTTAAAACATGAAAAATTATTATATTAAATAAGTTGTGAAATGGACACAAGAATTAACTATTGATTCAAATGATGAAGAATTGTGATTATTTCTTCATGGACTTAATGAACGCATAAATGGCAAAGACTAGTAGTAATTGTATGATTATCATGGCGAAACGATTCTCGTAATCAAGTGAAGTGCAGTCATCTTAATATCGGGCAAATGAATGACACAATTAGTTAATTGTCATAAAAAACATGTGAAGCCTTACCATAGCCTTTGAAAAAGCAGGACAAGAAGTTGAAGACAGAGTAAACGAGTAGTGCGGACATCACCACCAGTGATATGAAGCAAAGGTTCGGGTCCTCAGTGGCCGCTCCCCAGAAGGCCAGACCCGAGAGTACGAGTGCCGCCAAAATGAAGATAAAAATGCGGACCTGTTTTGTGCCCTCGAAAGCCTTAGGACTGTCTCTCACGAAGTAGTCGATCAGTGCCACCAAATATGCCAAACATAACAAGGCGTTCACAATAATCAGTAATATTTTAGTGCATCGATGCCATCCCTCTGCCATCCCTGACCACTGGTTATATTCAAACAAATTAGTAAACAAATAAATAGATAGATCTACCGGTTTTAGTATTTTGTGAAAATTGTGGCCAAAATTGTGGTTAATTTTGCGAGACATCTACTTGATACTTTTATCTATGCCTTACAAGTTGGTTACAGTTGTGTTACAGTTTTTGTATCAAAATTATTACAGTGCATACTACTGTTTAGAAAACTATTTGATTACTATTCCTGATAATCTTAACCTTAACAAAATGTTGTGTAGAGTTTTATTAAAAATTATAAAAATATTAAACTTTAGATGCATAAAGATTAATTTAATCAATATCTTATGAATGTAAATAATTTGTATACTTCTTGGAAAGAAAATTATAACATTGTATAAATTAATTAAAGAGGAATTCATTTGTAATTTAAAAATAAAATTAATTTTATGTAAATAATTATTTTAAAATTCTTAAATCTATACATTTATAATTAAGAATTGAGTGAAATGTATGTTAAAAATAGATCAATTTGTAGATAACTGTAAGATTATGTTTGTATAAAAAGTAAACCATAAAATAGCGAATTATAGATAATGAAAATTTTAATTTAATTATTAAACACAAGAAAACGTCTGGTAATTTGTTATTTATTTTAATAAAAAATATAAATTATATTTCAAACACTGATTTAATGAGAAGATATGGCAAAACGGATTGATTTGATTAAACTTTTAAATGCAAACATTATAAAAAAATTTGCTGTAAAATGATTGATACGATAGACTCGCAGATAATGTGAACGGGTTTTTCATGTGTAATACACTATTTATATACACAAAATAAATAAGTTATTAGGGTACTTATCAAAACATCAATATAAAAACTTGTATTGTATTTGAATTATTAGTATCCCATATAAATATTCTTCATTAATTGAATTTTAAGCTGAAAACGAGATTTTAATGATGTTTATAGCACTCCATTGATTAGTTAATCTAATTTAAATTAAAATCTTTCGTGATATTAATTATGCATTAAATTTAAATTTTATTACATGTTTCCCACTAAATATTTAATGTCCAAACTTTAAAAGTGTGTCAATAGCCGATACTAACTTCAAAACATTATCAGCGTATGAATGACCAGAGGGACTATACCTTAAACACTGAATTTACTAAAAACAATTGATTTAATTGATATGAATGGTGAGTACCATAGCTTTATAATTAAATAATTAGACCCCAAACTATATGTATGAGTGCGCCCCTAAAACACCCCTCACTTCGTAATAATTGCTCTCAAAAATGGCAAAAACAGCCAAATCTATACATCAATCAGTTATATATTTCTTTCATCAGAAACATAGCCTATAATTATATATTCGCTTAATTAGTGTCTGTGAACTGTAAGAGTGCTGTAATTATAACAACAGTTTAGTCCAAATGTGGAGTAAAAATAAATTTCTCTTTTTTAAAATCTATGGCTTTTCGGTCTCTCTCTCTCTCTCTCTCTCTCTCTCTCTCTCTCGCTTATCTGAGAAGGAAAATAATAATATTTACAAAAAAGAGAATTTTTTCTCTGTTAATGAGTTCAAAAACTTGGGTTATGTTTGTGTAAAATGCGAGAGAGAGAGAGAGAGAGAGAGAGAGAGAGAGAGAGAGAATCATTGAATGTTATGCAAAGTTTATTTTTAGATCTTTCAATCCGCACATATAATGCATCGGTATTTGTAATGAGTGGTGAATTTGAATGCAATTCTTTCACAACAAATGCAAACATGAATATATTTTCTCACAAAACAACTCAATAATAAAATATATGTAATTCTATAGTAAACCAATGAATGAATCTTTTTGTGAACACATGAATGAAAGAATTGATTTGTTTGTCGTAAAAATATTTAACTATTTGTACAATGGATTACATCATATTTTGTCTACAATTTTATTCATTTTATATTACAAGAGATAAGTGATGTGGATGTTTCTAATTTTTATTAAGTCTTATTAAAATGATTCTGGGAAAGGTGTCTAAAAATTAAAAGGAAATCATAACATTTATTATACCAAACTCTGCAAATGACCCATTTTTGTCACATTTTAAGGAGTGACCCCCGATATTGTTTGGGTAGAGCCATATTCCGGTGTCTATACCTGTATACCCCTTGGCTATTCACTTCTTGGTATCAAACATTTTTTGAGTACAAATTTATAGCTTGTTTTCCAGAATAAAAACTTCAAGAATTTATTTTGGTTAATATCTTTAGACTTGATAATTTTTATTGAACAATATTCTTACAGCAATATTTTATGAACTTAATTCTTAACAACTCTTAACCTAACAATTATTTATCATACAATTATATTCAAACTTTATTATAATGTACTGTATGGACAAAACATGGCAATCGTATTATTAATTTTTAATATTTATCTAGGATAGTTTTGTTATTAACATCAGAAAGTCACTTATTTTAAAGTTTAGAAAAGTTTCCACGGATTAAGAGAATCTAAAACTTTAAAGGTTAGGGTTTTAGACCTAAACTAGAAATCATTTTATACTTTCAATACGTGAGTTGTGCAGTACTTATAACAAAAACAGATACCATAAAAGAAATTCATTTTTCTATATTAACTTCAGTTCACTATTTTCTATTGATGTGTAAGTTTTGGTTAAAATGTTTTTTATAAGTACATCGATCGGGAGCATATCTACACTCAGATTTAAAGTGTAAACAAATACATGTGTAATAATTTCTAATTTACAATTATAGTTTTAATTTTTGGAGTGAATTTTATTTTACTAATTCAATTTGTTATTAAATCTGTAATATTTTATTTGAGATATGTTTAGGGATTTAGTTGATAGATTGAATTCACGAGTCATTATCATATGATTTCTGAGTGCAATTACTTTAATTGATTGAATAACTTCTGAAAAGATGAAAAATAGTTTCTTTAAAATTAATGTATTGACAAAAAATACTGTTATTCTATAAGTCCTGTTAATAATGTGTTTTAAAATAATAATATAATGCCCGTAGAGGTCACATCCAAGTGCTCTATTAAACCAAAGGCACTGAACATTTAGTTGTATTTACCACTCGAGTCA